TCTGCCGATCCATTGTTGTGTTTGTCGGTATTGTTCATGATCAACTGGGAACCCTAGTGTTGCCAAACTGTTTGTTTTTACTCCAAAAAATTCTTCTTTTCGTTTCCGCAAAAAGCCCAAAGCAAAGTTGAAGAACAGACGCCCAACACCTGATAGCAGCACAGGCTTGTGGTTAGCGTTTTGTAAAACATCCGGTGTTTCTTAATTAACCCCTTGCCGTGATATTTTTTGTGAAAGGTGTTCATCAACAATTCATTTTCCCGAAAAGGCGACACCTGTTGATGACGTTATTGGCGGGTAACTGCAATTTGATCCTAAATTTACACTTGTCCGCCATTTAATTGACATCTAGTCTCTTCTTGAGACTGTCATTGGAGGGAGTTTTCGTAACAGTATCCTATATTTGCTTAACCTAAGCAACAAGGATTCCAAGAGGTAGAGCTGAAAATATTTACGAGTCAAAATATACCCGCTGTAATCATTTTGAAATGTTGCCCTTATCTTTTTAAAACGCTATTTTAGCTCTTTAATCGATTTAGGTAAAAGCTTGACAAAAAGGAATACTATTAGAACAATTAGCTCTATCAGTGAACACCATGTTAAAATAGTAGTAAACATATTGGAAGATTTACCTCTCAGGAAATATGAACATGGAAAATTATGCGTGCGGGCTGAACTTGAAAACGAGAAAACTTTTCATAAAAGATGACTCGACCAGGGTTAAGGTAGGTGAGGAGGCTATTTGCCCAATAAATGGTTAACATTAACATTAGTGACGTTAGCACTAACCACGACATTAGCATTAGCTTTAGCAAAAACTTACCTTAACAAATGATGGTATAAATCGAATATGCTGCGAATTCACAATAAGTCATTTGATGCTCTTTTTGTATATTACTGGAGCATTCGCAGAGTTCTATTTCAGTCCTCGTAATTTTCTTCGATTGTTAAACACGCGAAAAGAATTACAAGATGTTTTCTTTTATCCCTGCTCCCTTTTCCCGCCACTTCGCAAGCCACGCCTTCGCTCACCGTTTGTCGCGTTCTTTCTTTACGTTAACAATTTTGACACGTTGTGAACGGTCCACTTATAATCATCACCTTTTTCAAAGCAAAGCTAAACTACGTGTATTAAATTATGGGTGCGCTTAACAGGGGTAAGGATAATAGAAAACCCTCATAGGGACTACCAAAAGGTGGCCGCGGCCGATTAATAGAGGCGGCCGGTTGATAACTGGCCGCTTAAGGTCATTCCCCAGTGTTGCATTGCGCATCCTAGGCTCCATTTCCAGCCGTTTTGGGAGTGCGGTTGTTCATCCTCCTCCTACGTGGTGTGGACCAAGGAACGCGGGCTCACAAAACGGCTGGAAATCGAGCCTATGCGCTTCCCAACTGCGCATAATTTCGCGCGTGATTGGCGCGCACGCATAAAAAAATGGCGGCTTTTTCTTTACAGCTGGACCTCGCCATAAATGTAGATCGTCATTTTCTCGAAAACTAGTACGGTGACCTTTCATTTTTTTCCTGCTGTTTTGAATTGAGTAATAAATTTCTCTGTTTAAAATAAATATGGACCAGTTCTCATTGTAGAACAAGAAACAATCGTCGGAAACGTGAATTTAGCAAGCAATCGTGACCATAATCACGGTGCTATTATAAGGATTTATCGGGTATAAACAACGTGGTGTTGCTCCTAAACGAACGCGGGGACCCCCCATTTTTATTTCAAAATTTAAGTTCCTATAATATAAACAGTCAATATGCAAAGTTTGACAAAAATCTCAGTGCAGGGTCTATTTCAGTGGAATGACCTTAACAGAAACAAGGACCATACTACCACGCAGAAATGACACTCGTTCTAAAAATGATCGCATTTATTCTCAAATAAATCCAGCCAAAAAATACTTATAATAATAGACAGGTTAGTTGAGCATAACTATGTTGTTTGATATCTTTAGTATACAGTGCATGTGTTTTTACGCGCAGTGATATTTCATCTCAAAGCAAAGTCAACATCTCGTTCAATTCCTACAAACTTGAGAGCGTCCGTGGCACTGTACCTGAAATATATATATATATATAAAAAAACCAAAAGGTTACTTGACTTAAAACCGTAAGACTCTCCATTCAACCCGAGTTTATTCGGAGTTTTCTTCTTCAATGACACACTGTCAGTATTTAGTGAGAATTCAAAAGTAAACTGGAACTCCGTTAATCCGGTCACCAAGGGGCCACGAAAATTTGGCCTGCATTAACGGGGTGGCCGTGTTAACGGGGTAGGGTCAAACCTTATGATTGGTCTCACAACTGCACTTCTAAACAACTGCTACTTTTCAAGCTTCCGGAACTTCAGATGTTATTTTAAAAAAGTTGAAACTTGAATCAGTGTATGAAATATTAACGCTGGAAAGATGAACATAACCGATTTGTGTGGCCGTATGAACGGGGTAAAATTATAAAGGATTATACACGTTGGGATTTCAGAATGTGGCCGTTGGCCATATTCATGGGGTGGTCGACGGGGTTTTCTTATAAGAGAATGTATGGGCGTTTCGCCTGGACAAAAAAACAGTGGCCGTAATAAGGAGGTGACCGTAAGGCGGGGTTCCATTTAAAGTTTCTTTTCGAGAAAATACCCAACAACAGTTTTCAACGTCACTGATGGAACGCTCATGTTTCCTTACCTATAATCAAAGAACAGTTCCTCTCCAGCTTCAATATCACGTTTAGCAAAAATACC